TTAATTTTCTAGAATTATAGAGGGGTCAAGAAGAAGGAGATCTCCCTCTACCTTAAGGAAGTAGTAAAAGATAACTCTGTTTTTTTCGTGGGCCTTACTGAAACTAAGTTGGCCTCGATCAATAAGATTGATGTCAATAGAATTATTGGCAACAATTGGGATTATTTTCATCAGCCTGCGGCAAGTACTGCTGGTGGAGTTTTGGTAATGTGGAATTGCAATTTGGCAACCTTCATCGTGATTGATCATTCCCCTCAATTTGTTTTTGGTGCTTTGATCACTCCCAATAAGGGTCTTTGGAATGTGGCTATGGTCTATGGCCATCAAGAGCTTCAAATCAGGAGAGAGCTTTGGAGCCGCCTTGATAATCTTGTGAAGGATGATGTTCCTACAATTGTGGGAGGAGACTTTAATTTTCTTTCCAAGGATGATAAGAGAGGTGGCAAGCGTTTTTACATGACCAAAGTGTCTAAGGAGATGAGGTTATTTATGGCTAACCAAGATCTTCATGATTTAGAAGTAATTGGTCCTAAATATACTTAGTGCAACAACAAACAAGGAACTGCTAGAATTTGGGAACGTTTAGATCGCTGCTTGCTGAATTCTTCGGCTCTTCAGCTTGTCCCGTCAGCTTCGGTCAAGCACCTTGCTAGGATTGCCTCTGACCATTGTCCCATTGCTTTTAAGCTTGATGATACTAAGCATTCTCAATCCAAAACTTTCAGATTTGAGGACACCTGGAAATCCTATCCAGCTACTTGGAGAATTGTAGCTAATGCCTGGAATAAGCAAGATTTCGGTGATGAGGCCGAAGTTCTTAACAGAAAGATCAAGAGAACATTGAAATCACTTTTTTATGGCAGAAGAATAAATGCAAAAATCTAATTTTACTGAAGGAGCTGAAGAATGACATTCTTAAATTACAATTGCAAGAAGAAGCAGATGGTGGTCTCAGTCTTAATGATCTTACTCTGCTGCGTAGTAAGGTAAGGGAACTCAATGTTACCTTACTTAGACTTTCAATGTGGTGGAACCAACGTGCTAAGGCGAACTGGAACGATGAGGGGGACACCAACTCGAGGTTTTATCATGCCTATGCTACGGCTAGGAAGAATGGCAAATTGATTAGACAAATCAATGATGAGGATGACAAAGTTGTAGATGAAACTGACAAAATTGAGTCAGTTTTCTTAAAGTTTTTTTAAGACATGGAAATTCCGAAATTGTAATAATCTGAATTGGCCTTCTGTTGATACTAGTTGTACTTCATAGATGATGAATTATTTTTGTACTATAAAGATTGGTGTGAACATGGATATAGTAAATCTTCCATAAAAGACATGATAAATGTGATGATTTGCTAACCACTATACACAACATAGTAGGTCTACAAGCAAAGAAAGAAGAATGTTAATGATATAACTTCCTTTTTACTAATACTGACCATTTTGCAGATAAATACACAATATTCTATCTACAAGCAATCATACCTGATGCAGTCTATTGGGAAGATAACAACTACTGAAATACTATGAATACAAGGGAGCATAAGTAAAACATATAAGAAGTTGTGATAAATCCAAACCTTACGAGCTGCTGAAGGAAACTCATTATACAATCAAAGCATGAGATTAGTTAGTGCATTATAATCTACCTGCATAAATCATGTAAATAGTGCACGACAGTCTACCTATATGAAACGGGAAAAATGACAGCAATACAACGCCACGCCATCGAATCTGCAACCTTCGTACAAGCAGACAAAATGCGTCAATAAAGTCTAAAATAAATACTCTCGCACATAGGTACATGAAAGGGACAAATGTAACTAAACACCCGCATAGGCCCTGACGAGTGTGTTATTGGTACACGTGATGTCTAGGTATGTTGTGCGGGTTATTAAATTTAAATCTGATTCTCCTGAGTAAGTAAAAAGGAGTCGATAGGGTTTAATTATAAAAGGCCCCCAAGCATTCGCATGTGCCTCGACGAGCTTGTTATAAGTACACACGTGATGTCTAGGGATGTTGCACAGGTCGATAAGTGAATTCAAGTTCGAACATGATCCTTCTATACGGATCAATAAAAGTTGAGAAGGTTTGAACTATCAAATAAATATATAGTTGTGGCGACCGGTATATTTGTTTCAGCACATTCATATTAGGCCTTCAAGGCCTATAGTCAAGAGAATTCAATAATAAAGGTATAAAACCTACAAAATCGGATCCCCTATCGGTAAGTTAATAGGGTCGACAATGTTTAGTCAATGAATGACCCCACACCCCGATAATGGATGCATTGAACTTAAATCTCAATAGGAGGGGTGATTCAAATACTTTCAGATGCCTCCCAAATGCTCAAATGTCCCCAATACTAAAAAAATCCAAAATTTTCAAAATCTAAAAAAATTTAAAATTGAAATTCAACCACAAAACATTTAAAGAAAAATTCATCCACCATCCGCAATAGTTTGTCAATGTGGATAAATTAAAATTTATTTTAGCTCACATAGAGCTAATGCCTGGTCGAAAATATCACTAGGATCCATTCTCAAACAATCTCCTGCCACTAAGGGTGTGGTACGTGTCCTCTGACCGGCGGTTTTGTCGCTAAATGATACTGCAGGATAAACGGTCATGACCCAGAGCCCTTTGAACCAAGTGGTTTTATTGACAAATGGCACCACGAAATATCGGTTATGGCCAGAGCTAGTGAGTTCCTTAATGACATTAAATCCTTGATATATGAATCAATAGGATATGATTGATAGGGCACAAAGCCCTCTGTTAGCTAAGGTGGATTCAAATTTATCTCCTTAGACAAACACTCACCCCAGGTCTATAAGGTCCCCTTGGACGAAGCAACCCATGGCTGCCGACAAGGATCCTTCTGTCAGGTTGGGTCAACTACCTCCTATGACTAAGTAGACCAGGGACCACGATGACCCGGGACGACGGAACCATGAGATCTTGATTGAGTCCATTATCCATTCGCCCACCATCCGCTTTAAGTGCAAAGTGGTGAAATTTTTATTTTAAATATCAATTTTTCAAATATCCAAACTCTTCAAATATCCAAAGCCCATTGCTGCAACTATATGCCAGATAACACGTATCTGATTGAAGACTAGCCTTAATCAAAAGTTCTCTCTCATTATCAAGAGGGAAATTAACTATAGGGGCTTACGCCTATAGGAAACCATAACTCAGATCATAAAGTCCTCATAAAATGAGGGTGAAATCTCTAGGTAGTGTCTTATCTACAAGCTCGGAACTTAGTTCGTTAAAACTCCCTCGCCAAAGAAAAGCAAAAAGCGGGTGGAGGCCAGGGCTGAATTTTCGGAGCCCACAAAGATCTAATTTGAATTCAAAATCTAAGAGAGAATTATTTAGGGAAAAGTTGGAGGAATTAAGGGGGGAAGTTTTAATTACAATTGGGATATAATTAATCAGGGAAATAAATCTAATTTGAAATCAAATATGAGAAGAAATTATTTAAGAAAATGGGGCTGAATATGGTAGGGAATTATGAAAGCCTATTTAAGGCTAACAATATGGTGATTTCAGGGTTATGTTTTGGAGTTTGCTGAATTTAGTTTGTTCTTTAGGTTATTTGGGCTCTAGCTGATGGATAAGGATTTGAGAGAGTTGGATCTTTATCTCCAATTGAAGATCCAATTGTATCTTGCTTTTTTCTTTAGAGTTCTTTTAATAAAAATTGTTTTGGGGCATTCTTCTTCCCAATTTTTCATGTTTCATTTGTTAATTTTTGTAAAAAGTACACCCACTTCCTTTCCGAAAGATATTCAACCAACATCAACATGTTGCGTAGGCGATTATGGGTTTTGGAAAAATAGGAGTTAGTATGGAGTCTTATTTGAATGAAGAAAAACTGCTATTTCATTAAAGAAAGTAGAATTAGGCAATTACAAAGGGTGTAAACAGAAGTTTCTATATCTTTCCCAAGCCCCCGCTTTCTCTAGCTCTATTCTTTTTCTGTCTTCCCAGGATGTCTTCTTTTATATAGAATAATAATTAGTAAATAACTAATGGTAGAAAAGTTATTATAAGAAATTAGAGATTCAATCTAAATTAATTATGGTAAAAGATTTTGACTCAGAAGTCGAAGCTAGGCCGTTACCTGGGCTACTCGGCAACAAATTATTTTGCATGATAAGATGACTTTGCTTTTCTAACAAGATAAATTTTTCCAAGACCTTTGAAACCTCTCAGACTTAGATTCTTCTTTGCATTCACTTTACAACAATTACTCTCGAAAATTCTTTGTCCATCCTTCTCTGCATTCACTTTGCAAGTATTTTAATTTCCTGACCATGCTTGAATGAGCAATAATTTAGCATTATAAAAGAAGAAATTAATTAGATACCAATAAAATATAACAAATAAACTCACATATCCTTCCATCGTTTGAAAATATTCCAAGAACCCTAACGAAAAAAGAACAAATAATGGATCAACTAATTCGATTTTCTTTTTAGAATGATTTTATATAATTATGTAGAAGTATTTTTAAATTTTTTAAGATCATAGTTTGTTGCACTGATAGATTTTTTAAATTAAAAATTAAAATATGGTAAGAAAAAAAAAAACTAGCAAGGGGGGGAAATGAGATTAATGTTTAATGGAATTATTTAGCTTCAAAATTTGAAACATGCTGACCAAATAATATGAGAAATTGGAAGGCAAGAAAACACAACTAAAGCTTGTATATCTGTTCCAAATTGGGATAGAGTAATGAGGTAGAGAGTGGAGTGGATTTGCGAATACTAATATTTCAAGATGAGGTGAGATGACGATGAACTCAAAACTGAGGCAATCCACATGAGTTAATTAGGAGTTTGACTTCTTTGTCTTCTACCTTCTCTTATCCAGGGAACCGAAAAAGGATTCCAATTTTAGCTCAATGATAGAGAATTTATACTTTCCTGTTAGGAAGGCCTTCACATAAAAATCACTCCTTTGGAAAACAAAGCAATTACGAAGGGAGAAAGAATATATATATTTTTTCTGTATATGATGTCTCCTTTTACATATAAGAAGGAAAACATTGGTTACCAAAGGCAAAAATGTTGTTACAATTAGTCTGGGATTCAGTGTCCAGTTGGTTACTATAAGGCAACACTAACTCGGATAATTAGCACTAGGCTGGCACATGAACTGCTTGACAACAATGGCATGTCGAGATAACTTTGTGGCTCTCAGCCGGTAAGCTTTCCCTAGAACTTTGACTTAGCTTGGCCTCCTACAGATTCTTCTTGGCAACCTGAAATCTTTTATGAAACATCTTCGCCATCCTTTTTCCACATCCTCTTGGCAAGTATTCTAATCTCCTGATGTCAAATGAGAAAATGATTACCATTATAAAATAAGAAATTAATTACCCATAAAACATGAAAAATAATCTAAGATAATCTCCCATCCTTCGAAAATATTCCAATAACTTTAAGCCAAAAAGAACAAATGATAGATCAAAGAATTTAATTTCCCTTTTGAAAGTCTTTATGCAACTATGCAGAAGTATTTTCAAAATTTTTAAATAAAATTTTTAAAACTAAAACCTGCTAATAAAAGTATGAAAAATTGAAGGTATAAAAATGTCTTAAGTTGTACATTTGTAGAGCTTTTCTGTATAAAATCAAGCTGGAATTGGATCATAACCTGACTTATTCGGTTATGCACTTTTGAAGTATAATAGAAGGAAAGTAAGATAAGCAAACCTGTGGTCATAACAAAGCAAAATATATTGAGCTTGCTGCCTGGTGGAGATAAGTCATATAAACTAAGAGGGAATAATTAGGTGAGATGATGCTTGCTCAGGTGGCATACGATTAGATCTTTTTCACACAAATCTATAATATTTATGGAGTACAGAAAATAAAAGAAATACATATATTTTAAAATCATAATTTAAAGTGAATGGATGATATTTTTCCTTTAAATGAAGGTTGGGAATTCTCTATTGGTGAAGTAACATGTTCCTTTTTAATAGTAATATATTTTAACAAATGGAAGCTGAAGTCCAAGCCCTCATAATCTTACCTTTATGAAACAAAAGTTTGAACCCTGTTACAGAAATCGGATTCAACACCTTGAATGAAAACAAACTGGATTTTAATGCATTGGATGCTAGGATCAAGTGTTTTCCTTCACCAATTTCTTAATTGAGCATTTAAACTTGTTTTCTCATGAATTAATACTTTTTCTATTTCTTGAGACTCATTACGCACTGAAGGCTATGCCAAACAAAATTTCTGAACTTATCAACAGCTTTGTGTTGTAATGAAGAAAACAATGGGGGAGGACAACAAAACAATTTCCAAAGCAACATTTTTTGAAGTTATTTCAAAGCATCTTGAAGAATATGGGAGCAACTCCCCTTATCATGCTACAAGTTCAGATGCAAGCAATTTGGATGTTGTTGATTTTCAACATAAACAAGCTGGAGGTAACATTATTTTTGCCCCCTAAATGATAAGTTCATTGCTATTGTTTCTTTTATTTTAGATGTACAAAGTAAAAGATAATACTTACTGTGTCTTTTTTTAGTGGGTAACTTGGATAAGAAGCTGCTTCATTTAGGTTGTATAAAATTCATCATATTATCAAGGAAGCTTAGACAAAGTTGATAGTAAGAGCTTGCTTATTCTGATGCAGACCTTGCAATATATTTTCTATGGGTAGAGGAGAGAGTCAGGAAAAAAGGTGAAAAAGGGAAAGCTTCCCATATGTATCAATAAACCATGTTCATATTACCATTATATTCTTAACCACCATCAACTTTGGCATTTTTCGTCATTATGGATTGATGGCCCATCCATTGAGTTCGCTTTAGAAAAGTATAAACGCTTTATTCCCATTTCATCATAAAGTAAAGTTTATTTCTAGTCGGGAACCTATTGAGCTTAATCTTTAACATTTGTTGATCTTTTTATGTTTGAATTGATTTATGATTCTAATTTGTTGAGTCCAATCCTACATCCCGAACATATTAATGTTGATCTCAATACTAGTGTCGGGGTTGAGTCAACCACACATGGTAAGTTTCGAAGACAAAAGACCACGGTGTCACACGAAACTTGCTCGACACGCATCGACCGAAAATCGAAATTGCCGAATTGGCCTCTATTCGCATAACGGACAGTGCCAGCTCGTCCAGAGAAATGGAAACAACTAAGATCGACATCCATATTGATTGGGATCATCAATCGGCGAAAATTTAAAATTTTCATGCGCATATCAAGCCGGCATTGATGTGAGCAACAACGACGATCAATTTGATGCATGATTATTAAATTTTTTTATTAATTTTATTTTTTTTTAAAACTAATTACTAATAATAATAAAAAAAGAAATTAATAAAAAAAAGAAAAAAATCTAAATAATTCTTAAATTACCCCCATACTCTCATATCCCATCCCACTCTGTCCCTCATGCCACTCATGACATTCACACTCCAAACCGCATAGCACGAACTCCCTCTCCTTTCTCGGCTTCCTCTCTCTCATACGCCTTCAACCGCTGGCCACCAAGGTTTCATGCGTTGTGACGTCTCGCCATCGCTTCCACTGTGCACCTAAGATATATCCCTGACATTTGCTATTTTAAAATTTGCCTATGTATGAAATATAAGTACTCATGACTACTTTTATTGGCGAGCGGAGAAATATAAGTACTCATGATCTCTTTCATTAGCTAGTGAGAAAATTTGTATTAATATATAAGTACCCCATGACTGCTTTTATTAATGAGCGAAGAAATTTGTTTGCATGAGATAAGTACCCATAACCACTTTTATTAACGAGTAGGAAAATTTATTTGCATGAGAAAGTATTCGTGATAGCTTTTATTAGCGAGCAGGAAAATTTATTTGCATCAGCTAAGTACATGTGATCGATTTTATTAGCGAGTAGGAAAATTTGTTATATATAAAAAAACTAGTACTCATGACCATTTTTTTAGTAGGTGGGAAAATGTTATGTTTTATAAACAGGTACTTGAAAACCCATGACCGCTTTTATTAGCGAGCGGGAAATAAAATTTCGGCTGCAGTGTCACCTGACACCTGCCATAACTGCATTTATTAGTAGGCGGGTAAGCTTAACATGCCCGATGTAACCCTGTATGTGGGGATGAAGTTGGGGTGTTGCCAAAATTTATAATAAAATAATTGAGTTAGATAAAATTTAAATAGGTTAACACCTAATGTAGCTCCTAAGTCAACAAGAAATGAAACATGCATGAAAACATAATTTGCAAATGTTGAAAAGAAAAAAAATGAATGAAAACGTAATGAACTTGTAAATGAATTTTTTCTTGCTTGTCAACCAACACAAGCACAAACTAGATTTTTCCCCTTAGCTCCAAGCTCGCGCACACACTCAAATCACTTAGCAACACACACTCTAAACTGAAATGAACAAAAGCAGGGTTCCCTATTTATAACTCGGGAAATTGATCCCTTTTGGGACTTGTTGAGCTAAACTCTAAATACAAAATGATAAAATGAGTCATAGGTGCATAAGTGTTCTGGTAGCATGCACGTCAGCTGTTAAAATTAGGCTCGTATACACCCCGTGAATGTCATATGTCATGTGAACATTGGCCTTTGAAAAGAAATAAAATAACACACTGTTACGTGTCACGGGTTGTACAACCCTTCATTAAAGTGCACATGACGCGCTAAATCATTAAAAGAGGTGTCATCGTTGAGTCCCTATTATATTATGCATGCATACTAAATCATATACAAGCATATCATATGCACATACTAATGGTACGCAAGTGCATCATATATACATATTGAAATATATATAAGTATGTTACGTAAATTCATCAAAGATTGTGCAAGCACATAATGCAACATACAAAAGCGTCATGAAAACATGCTATCCAACATGCTAATATATCATATACATGTTATTCAACATGTTAATGGTTCATGTACATGCTTTATGCAGCATGCATTTGCGTCATGCAATAGTATTGTCCAACCTTGCAACATGCATATGCAATATCTGATATGTAAATGCATAATACATATTAGTCATGTAACACATAAATGTGTTACACAAGTATGTATGCAAACCTAATCCAAAAATTTGGGTTTTGACTTCCCTTGAGGTTGCTAGCTCATTAATTTTTGAGCTGAAATTTAGCTCATTATGAGCCGGTTTTTAGTTCATTTATTGAACTAAAAGTTAGCTCATTATGAGCTCTATTTTTAGTTCATTTATTAATTTATAACTCATTAATCTTTTCCCTTCTCCTCCCCTTTTCTTCTTAAAATTTTGAGCTTTGCCCCGTGGGTTTCCGTGGCTGACTGTGGTGGGTGGTTTTCCCGTGCCTTGGTTCCTCGGTTCTGTGCGGGCCTCCTTGGTTCTTGCTGCTGTCTCTTCGAGTTCCGCCTGGGCTTCTTTCTCGTGGCTGTTGGGTGGGTTTTCCTTGACTTTTGGTGCTTTGTTTCCTGTGTAGAATTGGGAATATTATGAGGTGGCTGTTGGCTTATCATTTCTTTCATTTAATTTGTGAGGAGTTTTTGGGGCTGTTTGGTTTCTCCTCTCATGCCTATATATATAGATGTTTTATGATGTTTTAGAGTTGTAAAAATGTTATTTTTGGAAGCCATAACCTGCGGGTTTGCTTGGAAAAGCTTGCGAGCTTTGTCCAACTTCTCTTCTTCTTCCTTCTAGGAAAGCTTGCGAGCTTCTCCTCCTTTTTCTTCTCGGGCTTCTAACCTCTTTCGTCTCTCCGCAAGTTTCATTCCACCTGTATCCTTCTTCTCAAAGAAATCAAGTTTAGGAAAGTCGTTGTCTTTATTTTATCGTTTGTATGCCATCAAAAGTTTGTAAGTCTTTTATATTATAAATTGAAATTATTTTTGGCTTATTTGTGTTCTTTAGTGTCTTTTCCATTACCTAGTAAAGTCTTATTTTATTAGCAAAAATTTGGGTCAAATACATAAATTTTTATTTTCCATTTCCATTCCTCTCCCAAATTTTTGCTTACATCAAATACATAAATTTTTATTTGATGTAAGAAAAAATTTTGGAGATAAATGGAAAATGTATAGGAGTTATTTTATATATTTATTTGATGTATTGTGGCTTTGCATTTCTATTAATGACAAAAATGAAAAGAAATATCTTTCAAATAGTTCTTAGGAATTGTCCTGCTACGATCTGACATGATTTGATCCATTCAGTATATGAGTTATGCCCGGTTAGGTCTGGACAATTCACAGGTATCTAATTAGGTTCATGTCTATGGGGCATGTTCGGGAGGGACCCTGGCTTAAAGCAATGCTCCCTGAAAGCAAGCCTTTCCCTAGGGTGTAGTTGCTAACACCATTTAGAAGCAAGAAAGAGTTCATCCCAGTAGAGTTTGTGACATGCGAGCTCACCCCTGGAAGATCAAATCAAAGATGCACTCATCAACAACGAGTCTGTCTAGGAACTCTCCTTGACGAGCCTTCGCCCTAAAGGGCACTTTCCCTTGGAGGATATGCTCCTCAACAACCGTTCTCAACCAGGGTCATCCACCTCTCATGGGCTCTGAAAATTTGTGTCCCGACCTCCCCTGTTGCTTTCAGAAGAGTTTTAACAAATTAGATTTTGAGGTAAATTTTCAGAAGGCAAATTGGATTTGTAGATAAGACATTACTAGAGATTTCGCCCTCATTTTGTGAGGACTTTATGATCTAAGTTCTGGTTTCCTATAGGCACAAGCCCTTATAGTTAATTACCTCTCGCGATAACCAGAGAGAACTTTTGATTAAGGCTAGTGTCATCAATCAGATACGTAACGTCTATCTGGCATATAGTAGCATTATGGGTTTATTCTTTAAAATTTTAATATTTAAAATTGAAAATTTCATCATCTTGCACTTAAAGTGGATGGTGGAGGGAATGATGATGAGCTCGATCAAGATCCCATGGTTTTGTCATCCCGGGCCATCATGGTCCCTAATCTATATAGTCACAGGAGGTAGTCGACCTAGCCTAACAAAAGGATCATTTGTCGGCAGCCATGGGTTGCTTCGTCCAAGGGAACCTTGCAAATCTAAGGTGAATATTTATCTGAGAGGACAAATTTGAATCCACCTTAACTAATAGAGGACTTTGTGTCATATCGATTATATCCTATTGATTCATATCTCAAGGATTTAGTGCCATTGGGGAGCATACGAGCTCTGGCCATGACCTTAATTTAGTGGTGCTATTTGGTTGCAAACCATCCGGTTTAGAAGGCATCAGTCATAACTATTTACCTGCGGTGCCATTTGACAGCAAAATCGCTGGTTAAAGTATATGTGTCATGTCCTTGTTGGCAAGAGACTGTTTGAGAATGAATCTTAATGATATTTTCGACTAGACATTAGGTCTTATGAGTTGAAGTGATATTTAAATTTGTCCACCTCGACAAACTATTGCGAAGGGTGGATAAGTTTTATTTTAAGTGTTTGGATGGTTAATTTCATTTTTAAATATTTTGGATTTTTTATTACTTTTGGAGTTATTAATTAATTGGGCATTTTGGTGGCATTTTAAATTCTTGTGCTCCCATTCAGTTGAGATTTACATTTAACACAGCCATCATCGTAGTATTTATGAGAAATTTTATTTTGTTGATTGAACATTATCGACTCCGTCAACTTGCCGACAGATGATCGGGTTCATCTCTGGTTTTATGCTTTTTTTTATTGAAGTTTCTTCATTATTGTCCTTGAAGGCCTAATATGATCTATAAAACAAAACATCCCGGTTGATGTTGCGATCATATATTTGTTTATTGGTTCAAGAAGTGTCAACTTTTGTCCTATCAAGGAGACAGATTGGGCTTGAATATAAGTTCATTTCTTGACTTGTGCAGCATCCTCAAACGTCATGTGTGTGAATACGACACGCTCGTCGGGGCCCATGCGGGTGTACAATTGTATTGCATTTCTTTGTGTTTGTGTGTATACATGTTGTAGTGCATGTCTGGGGGCATTTTTTGGATATTTGATGAGTCTTTTACAACAGCTCGTAGAAGCTTGTGTTTGTCGTAGCACTTCTGTTTTTGCTTGTAGGTAACATGTTGAGTGCACGACGGGTCCTCCACAGCGGCCAGTAGACGCTTGTATTTTCTCCATGTTATCCATCTCCGCACGTAGTTGGTCAATGTATTTGTCGGCCATTGAGTAGTGGTTAATTATAGGAGCGTTGTAACATCTACAATTATTGATCACCATCGACACATATTTATTATTGTGCACATGATTCATCTTCTATCATTGCTAGTAAGTGCTTGCATTCGCTACGATCATCTATTCCATGCTTGTAGAAGATCCATCACGCCATGTTTGTATATGATATGCAACATACATTGAACTCGTTATATACTCTTCATGCTTTTCCCTGAATATTACTTCGATGTTTCATTTCTAGTGGGATCGAGTACATTTACTTATACTTTGACGTTGATGGTGAGGCGTGATCACATTCAGCACTTGTCTTTCGTATCTATTGTATATTGGTCGTCGTCATTTGCGAGAATATGGATGTCGACACTATAATCACTACACATCGAGCTCAATCATCTGCGATGAACTGATGTGTTTATTTGCAAACTTAATTGACATTGGTCATAGGAATACTATTGTGTTTGGTTCTTGATGCTTGCATATAACGGGTCTCCTTCAGTTACGATATCTTATAGGTGTGTTTGCATTTGTTGCATTCCTTATACATTTTGTTGCGGTCTTTGGTCCTTGCAGTATATTCGCTACTGTTGCAGGTGGCATGTAGTGCGTATATCTGTATTTGTGAAGAACCAAAATCTATTGTGAATCTTCTATCCTTGCTTGGAGAGGGCCATTGTATTTGGCTAATATTGAGTAGTTATCAACTATAGGAATGATTTAGCATCCACTTCATGTTATTTGTCGTCACCTGCGAGTAGACTGCTATATGAATGAGGACTCCCCTACATTTGCTTTTGGATGCTAGCATTCATTATGCACATCACTGTGTATTTTTAGGGGTCACTACCATTTGCAGGAACATTCAACATGTTCATCAATGTGCCAATGTAGACTGTAGGAAAATTATGTTCATTGTTGACTTCTTTACGCATGCTAATCCGCAATTTGTATGTTCATTGCACTTTGACTTTGTATTCGTAGGAGAATGATACACCTGTTTGTAAATCAATGTAATAGGGGAGTTTTTTCTGTTGTATGTCTTTCATATTCTACTCATGAGCATATCACATTCATTAGGATCCTTCTAATGAATTAGCACATTTATCATGTTGTTCGTCGTCGTCGGTAGAATAGAGCTTCTGTGATGTGAAACTACTAGGAGTTACGATCGAAATTAAAAGAGAATTGTTAAAAGCTTGCTTTTATAAATTTATGTGGATCATGCAAGATAGATTTAAGGATTAGAAACATTAACTTTGCTTAGGCCAAAGAGGCGCACTTGAGATTAACCAAAATAGTTCATTCAAAAATCCAAGGGAATTAAATGCGAAGTACAAGTAACAAAACCCTACGTTTAACAACGAGAATTTCACCTTGAGGCCGTATCGCTCAAAGATTGGTGGACTTTTGGCGGAGATAGAAGATCCAAGAGATGAAAGAAGTTACCACTAGGGAGAGGGCGCCAAAGAACTTCGTCGAAGGAAAAGTTGCCGGTTGGGATGGAAGTCGTAGACGACCGTTGAGGCTCCAAGTGCACTTTGAAAGTCTTCGGTCGTAGATGCTTGCAAGGATTGGCACAACTCTATCCACGTATTCCTCCACGGTAGTTTCGTCTTCAAACCCTACGTCGAAGCAAGGCGACCGTAGGATGTCGACGCTTCCGTCGGCTTGGAAGACAATACCCCACTCAAACTCCGGATCCGCCATTCGACATCGAGATGGAGGGGAAGTGACGCCTTCTTCTGTCGTGGGCTTCTCAATTCACAAGAGAAGGGGGATGGGGGGCGGCGGGAGCAGGAAGCAGAGGGGGAGGCCGGTGGGGGCAAGGAAGGAGGGGAAGGTTTTGGGGAAGAAATTAGGTTAGAAGGAGATATGAAGGGGAATTACACAAATCTGAGATTTGCTTTCAGTTTTGTGTAATTTAGGAGGGATTTGCCTATGATTTGAATTCCCAATCAATTAGATTTAATGCCTTGATTAGGGGAATTAATGGGGGAGGCAAGGAGAGAGGAGGCCGGCGGTTACAAGAGGGGGAAGGGAGGAGTTTTAGCAATAAATCCTGAAATCAATTTCAGGATTTGAAATTTGGGAGGGAATTTTGTTTTGGAATTAAAATATTAACTCCAAATTGAAGAGGGATTAAAGGAGCAATTAATGATGGGAATAAACCCATGGGGCCGGCGGCATGGTGAGAGGGGAGGGGTGATGTGGTGAGTTATCAAGTTTCCAAATTAGAGAAATCCAACTTAGGATGAAAATAAAGTGATCCAATCTAATTTAAAATTAGATTGAATGACATTTCATACTTTCCTAATATGGCGTTTTGACAAATTTGGAAAGTTTAGGAACTCAAATAATTTTGAAATTCAAAATTTGAGCATGGGGGGAAATGTTGAAAGTGGCCGGTGGTGGTGGGTGGTCGGGTGGATGAAGGTGGTGGCGCCGGCAAGATGGCCGGCCGGAAATTTGGGGAAGGCCGGCGGTGGATTCCTCACAGGGGGTGGCGGCAATATGAGGAGGGGAATTTCTTGTGGGAGAGAGGGGGAAGGAAGTGGATGGGAACACGATCAAGAAGATAAAATAAAAACTAACCACGAATCGAGGACTCTTCCGACGATTGGTGGGCCTTGCGAAATGCTCCCCTTGAGCTCTCTTCCCTCTCAAGCACTCATGCTAAGAAAGTGGAAACAAAGATAACTTTTCATTCAATAATTCATTAAGCATCAAAATTACAATATGAAGGCTATATATAGCCTCTAATAAAGACATAAATAAAAAGGACTCAAATGCCCTCAAAGGCTACAAGACAGATAACTCCCCACAGGGGTAAAATGGGAAAAACAGAAAATAACTAAGACAGTAATCATAACATCTATATCAAAAGTAGAGACGCTGAATCGTGGCCGTCGATCTGCGGTTTCGCCGGCGATAAACATGTCTGTAGCGTCTGTCGATGTCCTCATCATTCTGTTATCCCCTTTCTAACTTGTAGACAAGTTGTCGTGTGCATAACAAGCCTCCTATAACGACTTGTTGGAGCTTGTATGCATCGTAGGTTTATTGTGCTCATATTTGCTCCCACTTGTTGATTAGTTGGTTGAATACCATAAGTTATATTAAGTCTATTGCTCTTCATTCATGGATGACTATTGTTTGTCGATGCTTTCTTGCCAGCAAATAGCATTTGGAAATTCATTCCTTACAGGTTCTTTGATTATTTGTTAAGGCTTATTTAAATGAACCATATTATCATTTTAATGTTTGAACATTTTTATTGAGATCAATCAGTTGTTAACTTAAAGTCCTGTTCCCTGTTGTTGTTTGGAATTCAAGTTCAATTCAAATCCATGCTTTTCAAATGAAGTACCATGTAATTGTCAAATTCTGTGTATTCTTAGATTGAATTTTGGCAGCTTCCCGACGTCTCCCTCGTTTAGGGAAAAATACAAATCTTAGCCTGCTCGCCATGTCAAGAAAGACGTGTACGGTCGGTGTAGGATGACATCGTAGCCGTAGTCTTCAATCCCAACATGTCAAGAAAAGCGCACATGAGTTTTAGGGGGCACCTGTTTGACAACGCATTTGTTTCCTTGTCGGCATTGAGGCGCGTACGAGTAATTATATTTTGCCCTACCGTGCCAGAAAAAGTGCGCACGATACTTGTTAGCCTCGTCGCAAGCGCCGCTGTGAGCTTCCTCCCACTGTGCTAAGAAAAGTGAGCATGGGTGGTTGCTCGTCGCGTTGCAAGGACCTAAAATGCGACTTTGGATAGATTTTGAGTTTGAAGGGTTATATCTGTGTGAGGTGACGACGACAACGGCGAATAAATGTACACCAAATACACCGTTTAATTTTTCTTTTCTTCCAAGCTTCTTATTTTACTCTCTTCCTTTTATTGTCATAGTTCATTTTTTTAGTCTTTCCCTTTTTTGTTCATAACCATAATGTTGGGAATTAATTAGTATTAATTAATAGTAAACAACAATACTAAATGCTAATGATAACTAAAACAGATACGCAAAATAAAATAAAACAAACAAGGAGGACAGACAACAAGAAAAATTACTTTTTGACTAATTGGGCGATTTTTTTTTTTTTTTTGACTATTGGGGGAAATTGAGCCTTTTGATGAATCACTGAAATAATTCCACTAAATGTAGAATGGGAATACGGCTATTGCAAATCTTCACGTGGATGTGAACAGGGATCGGCTTTCACGTGAATGGGAGCAGGGAAACATTGGCATAAAAAGAGCTATGCAATTCAAGAGTAGAGGCAACAGCCGTATTGTTCTCAGTCACTTGGAATGAGAGAGAGAATGAGAGGCAAAGCGGCTTACTGAGAGATCGGCTATGGAGTGGTGCGGCGGGCAGATTCTGGCTTGGAGGGACGTTGAATCATAGCAGCTAAAAGAAGAAGTAGGTTTTGTTTGCGTGAGGAGATTCCGCCAGGTGTGTTGTGGAAGGGTGTTTGGCTTGTAGTGAAGCAGGTGCAGGTCTTAGAGCTTCGATTGGTTGGAAGAAGGCTAAATGGAGGGTAGGGGAGGCTACGACTGGCTGTTAGAGATCGTACAAGGTGCCACTGCTGAGGGATCGGAGTTCAGAGCATGTCGGAGCTGGCTGTAGATCTCACGGGTGGAGGGAGTAGCTAAACACGATCTGGTCGTGAGGAGTTAATAGGCTGAGCTTTTTGGACAGGGTGCTGGTAAATCGTGACTATAGGAGCGGCTAGATGGAGTTTTTGTTGAAGAGGAGTTCGGCTAAAGTGAAAGGAGAAGCTGCGTGTGGACGGGTTGCGTAGTTTTGGCGTGGTGAGTTTGAGAATCAAAGCACGTGGACGGACGGAGCTACGACAACAGGTAGAGGTTTGGCTCGCGAGAGGGGGAAAGAGGCGTCTCGATGGGGAGGTTGGTTGAAGGTTCAAATCGATCAAACGTTTGGAGTGCTTGAGCGTGGAAAAAGACCAAGAAGTGAACGATCGTTCTCGTTTTAATGCCAGTAAACGAAGACGACCGAGGCGAAGAGACGCGAAGTAGATATCTGAGGTTTCAGCCAATGGGATTTCCGGGATTTAGAGAGGATTTTCGCAGAGAAATGTCGCAGGTTTTTATTTATTTAAGATTTAAAATGTTTTTGTTTGACTTGATTTGAGTTTTTTCTTTTAAGTTAATATTAATAATAATATTATTAATAATAATATTATTATTAATACAGAATGACAGTCACGCGCTGATTTAAAAAATAAAGCCTTGATTCTCGTGTTTCCTCGTAATTCATGCATTTCATCTCAGAATAAGCGTCCATTTCGCCGCACGACTTTAATTGGACAAATTGATAGTTCCTTTTGGGTATTGACAATTTTCTGAAGGCAACGACGGAGTACGTTTTGCGATCAGGCGACGTCGCACATTAATTCCCTCGATTCGTGTGTCGTTGCCTCGAGACCTCGTCAAGTTCCTTGCGTGACTTTCATTGACCAAATTGGTAGTGATTTTTAAGTATTGACAACATTTTGAATGCAACGACAAAGTTTGTTATGCAATTGAAAAAAGTCGTTTGGGCAATGTCGTGCGACAATGTTCTCGTTTTACACGTGGTTGCCTCGGGAATCCTGTCGTCATCTCGAATGATCCCAATTGAACAAGTTTGCAGTGGTTTTTGGGTGTTGACGATGTTCCGAGCGCGACGAAGAAATCCGTTATGCGATCGGACGTCGTTTGGGCGACGTCGCGCGTCAATTTTTTGTGTCGGTCATCCTCCCTTAGGATTGATATCGTCTGATTTGACTGCGAGAGATCCTACTTAGGCAAAATCGACATCCTGATTGTAATGGCACAGTCCGTTCATCAATCGGAAGTCATTTGACCCTTCAAATGAGTCGTTACGTCGACGCACGAGTTGCTTGTTTCATCAAATTCGCTTATTTTGCGCGTGTTTGATGTGTAGGGATCAACAAAACCTTACATTTAAGATTCTTGACTACATTCAACCCTAGCTCACTCTCACATTCACCTAGGAGATTCACCACTTTTTCCTGAGGGACTCAACCCAAAACTGACCCAATGTACTCGCCAGGGGCTTCCCCGAGCCACATTAGAGGCACAGGGCAATTTGTGTGTTGACCCGTAAGGCAAAACCAAAAAAAAAAGAGAGAAGATCATACCTTCCTTGCAATCCCACGTCGCTCCCCACGTGGCACATCGCACGTCGCCCGCCCCTTGCACGTCGACGTCGCCTCACACACGACCTCGCACTCACGTCGTTAAAATGAAACCGAGCTCGTCATTTGCGTGCCCTGGCTTTCTCCCAATTTTCGTCTCATCCGAACTCAACTCACGACGCTCCTTCCTCCATAGCATCCACGACTTTCCCTTTCATTTGGATCGGAAGTTAGACATTTTGATCGTAAGCAAGAACGGGAGCTCTTAGGCCGTGAAGGTAATCCTCCCTTTCGGAAGCATTTTCGGCCAAATCATGTTCCTAAACAGCCCTTAGGTTGTTTTATATTATTATTATTATTATAGTAATGATAATTTTAATAAATAATAATAATTATTATTATTTCATAATAATAATAATAATAATATTTATTATTTTTAAAAAAATGTGTGTGCTCTTCCATCTCGATCCACGAGCCTCCACCATCAAAGCCCGCGAAGGTACGGATTTCTTAAACTCAGATTCTCGTGTTCGTTGTTTGCAGCGGACCGGAAAACCGCCTATACACGCCTTTATTGCGCATGGTGGGATGGGACGCCGGTCCGATGCCTACGACGAAGCGAGCAATCGCCTAAACTCTACTTCGGCGTTCGTGGCGCACCCGAAAATCGCCTATACACGCATTTATTGCGCGTGGTGGGATGGGACCCCGGTGCGGCATTTACGACGAGGCAGGGTCACTCATAAGTACTACTGAGTGGGGGGAAAGCAAACTGTGTATTTTTAAATAGGTACCGAAGACCCCATACACGCCTTTATTGCGTGTGGTAGGAGGAAAGAGCACGGCCGCGATGTGCTCGTCTGAGGGTACCTACCATACACGCCTTTATTGCACGTGGTGGGAAGGCCCAGTTTTCTTGTAGTTTTCCCCTAAACGGGGGAGACGCTGGGAGGCTGCTGAAATTTCGGGTGAATGTATGGTCACGCTCGGACCTGTTTGAATTCAAAAGAACAAAAGATTTGGAATCAAATTGAATATTTGAACTGGCACAAGATCTGACTTGGACCATAAAAGACTTGTACTCGAAGAAGAATAGTGGACTTGGGACCTAAATCAGAATAAAGTTCAAAATGATTAATAAAGATCAAATTCAAATGAAATGAATTCGAAATGGGACCAAATTCAAATCAATTTGAGCCTGAAAACGAACTTGCAAAGATTCCAGAAGACTCTGAACAATCATTTGAACATACACTCGGACTCAAAATCAAAGAAACTAAGTGTGGAGGACACTAAAATTGAACAAGACTTGGACTGCAGGGAACCTATACTTGAACTTGCATTCTGGACTCAAGTTAAATACCAATGGCTTGAACAAAATTGAACTTGCAAAGAACTTCAAAAGATCCTGAACCAAAGACTTGAACTTGCACTCTGAACTCAAAACTAGAATAAGTTGTGGACGACAAGAACTTATGTATTTGGACTTGAACTGTACGACGCCAAGTGAAGTTTGGGTTCACAAGCATTAGATTCAAATCCGGATGAATTCATTATGACAGCAGAAGACTTGAATGAATGTTGAAGACTCATACTGAGTTTGAAATTCCAGTCTGAATGAAATTGAACTTGAATTCAAACATATAACAAAACTTGAGTCACACGAGGAAACTCAAACTACAAGATCTCAATGTGTATAAACAAAGAATGTAGTGGACTCTTACAACAGTCCCTAAGAGCTCAGGAGCATCGTACCTGCAAGAATAATGAATGGTTGCAGAATGCACGGGTGTCCCTCCTACATGCACTATTGGAATTTCCTACAACAATCCCTACAAATGCCTGTTGTTTGAGATGGCAATGTGGGAGACCAATAGTGGAGGACCGTTCCCTACAAACAAGTACAATCAGTCAAACCACTTGAGATTGGTGAAAGGTGGAGTTGGTACCCGTTGCAAATGACTCTCATACAAACATTCCTAGGAGATCGTAGTAGATATATATATAACAGTCCCCTGCAAATTGATACTTGTGGATAACAACAGTGAGTATATCGTAAGCACATCGAACCACTGTGGGCATAAGTACAAATACCTCCTACAACGATCCCTACAAAGTCAATGTACTATACTTGCAAGCCACAACAGATAGTTGCAAAGTGTACGAGCAATCAAAGAACTGTTCCTACAAACAAATACAAACATCAACACCTACTTGAGATTGGTGAAAGGTGGGTAGGATGCAAGAATGACGACTCTTCTACAAAACACTTCCAGGAGGTCGTAGCAAATACAACGGTCCCCTACAAATACACACAAGCACATCAAACCACATGAGATTGGTGAAAGGTGGGTATGATATTGATGTCAATGGGTCTCCTACAAATACCTTCAGGAGGTCTTAGTGAATACAGCGGTCTCTTGCAAATGACTACAAACCACTTGTGGATAACAACAGTGTGTATATCGCAAGCACAATGAACCACTGTGGGCACAAGCACAGATATCGCCTACGACAATGGTGATCAAGATCCACTAGCATTTCGGGTGTAAGGGCAACCCGGTGTATGAAGGACACCTCCTAACAGAATGAAGGTGACGCTTAAGAAAATTCAAACCAAGCTTCCTGGTGTTCCAAAACTCCTCGATATTATACTCAGGAGGAAACAATTCTGATGTCCACAAACACTAAAAATAACAAATCTACTATATTAAAGATCTTGAAAGGAGATCTTTTCAAGGCAAAGCAGTGGACTTCAAAGTCCAAAAGAAACCCTCCCCGGTGAATGAGAAAGGGGGGGAGTCAACATCAAAATGAGGAGATGCCTCACAACATCAAAAAGCCACGCCACCAGATCCGCAACACTCGTACTAGCGGACAGAAGACATGTATAAACTCTCAAATGAACTATTGTGTACTCAAATGGAGATAACTTGCACAACTACAATTATTTTCAAGATACCACTACACGTGCACCATAAATTGTATACACATAGGTATACTAATGGGGTAAATATAATCATAACCCGTATAGGCCCCAGTGAGCGTGTTATTGGTACACACGTGACGCCTAGGGATGCTGCACTGGTTGACAAGTGAATTCAAGTTCAAACCCGATCCTTCTATGCGGATCAATAGGAGTCGACAGGGTTCAAACTTCCAAACAAATATACGGTTGTGGGGACCGGTGTATTTGTTCTAATACATTCATATCAGGCCTTCTAGGCCTCTAATCAAGAGAATTCACTAAACAAAGGCACCAAGCCTACGAAACCTAATCCCCTATCAACGAGTTGATAAGGTCGACAAGGTTCAAGCCACAAATAGAAATGACTCCAATCACCTCGATGATGGTCGTGTTGAATGTTAATATCAACCATAGGGGTTAATTTCAGGCATTTTCAAATGCCTCCCAAAGGACCATTTCAAATATTTCAAAGCTTCACCCAAAATCCCAAAAAATTTAAAAATTTCAAGATATTTAAATTGAAATAAATCCATCAATCACTCAAAGTAAAATCCATCCACTCTCCACAACAGTTTGCCGGGGTGGACAGATTAAAATTTACTTCAGCTCATAGAGAGTCTAGTCAAAAATATCACTAGGATATATTCTCAAACAATCTCCTACCAGTAAGGACGTGGTACGCATCCTCTGACCGGCGGTCTGCCACCAAATGACACCACAGGATAAACGATTATGACCCGGGGCCCCCTGAACTGAGTGGTTTTTCCGCCAAATGACACCACGAAATACCGGTTATGACTAGCGCCAATATGTTCCTTAATGGCATCAAATCCTTGAGATATGAATCAATATGATATAATCGATAGGTCACAAAGCCCTCTGTAAGCTAAGGTGGATTCAAAATTGCCTCCCTTAGATAAACACTCACCCTAGGTCTACAAGGTCCCCTTGGATGAAGCAACCCATGGCTGCCGACAAGGATCCTTCTGTCAGGTTGGGTCGACTACCTCCTCTGACTAAGTAGACTAGGGACCACGATGGCCCCGGACGACGGAACCATGGATCTTGATCGGGTCCATCTTCCATTCCCCCACCATCCGCTTTAAGTGTAAGATGGTGCAATTTCTATGTTTAAATATCAAATCTCTAAGTCTTTCAACCCTTCAATTCTCCAAATTCTCCATCCATTTCCAAATTCCAAACTCAATGCTACTACTATAGCCAGATGCATCGTATACTCTACATATCTATTTGATGACTAACCTTAATCGAAAGTTCTCTCTAGTGATCAGGAGGGGTAATTAACTATAGGGGCTTGCGCTTATAGGAAACCAGAACTTAGATCATAAAGTCCTCGCAAAATGAGGGCGAAATATCTAGGTATTGTCTTATCTACAAACCCATCTACCTTCCAAAATTTACCTCAGAACTTATCAGTTAAAACTCCCCTCGCCAAAAATAAAAACAAAAGTCGCGGCGGGGAGGCCAGGGCCAATTTTTTGGAGCCCACAAATTTTTGGCGACTCCGTTGGGGATTGGTTTCTCTTTCCATCTCTGGCTAGTCGCTAAAAGGTTATAATAGCAAGCAAATCAAATTTTAAATTTCCTAAAAATAAATCTTTTAAATAAGATCAATGGAAATTCAATCAGCATGGTTTTAATTCTACAATAATTTTCCTGCTTCTGTTACTTGTTCTGTGTTATTTCTGTTTTATGAAAGTGTGGGGTGATGTATCAATTCGGATCACTAACCCCTGCCTTTCATTTTTTAGAATGGAAATGCAGGACACCCCGATGATTGTCTAACTGGGATGAGGAGCCAGGATTCAACTAGTAAATGCTGTCATAGAGACTGAAAATACTGAAGCCACCATCCACTTTGGTGGGCTCGAATTCTCAATAGCTACTGTAAAGGCTGCAACCGTACCTGTGTACGGCGTAAACTCTGAAGAACCTTATGGAAGGTCTTATTCTGCAATGACTACTGCCATAAGTGCTGCTCAAGGAAGAGTCTCTGTGTTTGAAAGACTCCCAACCTAAGACCCTTACTGCAAAAAGGATTATTGCTGAAAGAAAAATTTCTGTGGTGACTACAAACACTACCACCCTGCCCAGAGAGCTTGTTGCACCTGGGAGGTATGATACTGAGACTTCCTCATCTGGAGGAAGGTTCAACAGAAGGCAGAGGAGGAGAAGGAATGCCGAACTAC